GGGAAGGACACGCCGCCACAGGCGCCGCCCGTTTCACCGGCAAACCTCGGTGACAGCGGGTCCCGGGGGCCACACGTGGCGAGAGAGGAAAGTAAGGCACCAGCACGTTGCTGGTCAAGCAAATGGATATAGATTTTAGTCAACTCCTGATTTCTTTTGTGCTTAAGACACGGTACGTATAGCTCTTCCATGAATCCAAACCAATAAAAGAAGCCTGCCAGATACACATATGCCTGTATTATTTTTTAAAAAAAAAACAAAACACAACAAAAAACCAATTTGTCAATCTCAAATCATCTTACAAGTTAACAGAAGAAACCACTGGTGTCTGAACTAGAAGACAGACGGAGATTTTTCCTAAAACTCTTGTCGTCTTCTCACGCAGCCTATTCTACCTGCCCGAAAAGGCAAGGGGAAAAAAGAAAAAAAAATAGAACTACTCAGAAAGGAGGAAGGAAGTTTTCCACAGAGAGGGAAAACCATTCAACCTCCACAAGCCTTGGAGTTTCCACAGCCGAAGTTCCCCCAGGCACGGCCCCTGGTGGCACAGAAGCCAACGGCAGGACCTCTGCCTTAAAGGAGCAGGATGAAGGCCCTGGGGACACTGCCAGCCACGACAGCATCAGGCTGCCCACAACAAGGATGCAAGTACGGCATCCTGGATCCAACAAAATGGTTTTTGAAGTGGAAGCCACACAGAAGCAGCACTGGAGGACCCCGCTCTTTGGGTAGTTTGGGGATTTATCCCCCAGAAATTGTCTTTTAGTCCCTTCCCCACCCGGCGCAAACATTAAGTTCAGCCTTTTCAGGCTTCTGTCGTCCTGCTGCAGGCAGGGTAAGGACGTCCATGGGTTTTACTGAACTCCCCTTGCAGCAGTGCTCTTAAATTGTGGGTTTAAGGGAAAGTTCCATTCGCTCCTGATCCTACACGCCAGCACGTCGTCACAGCATAAGACTTCTTCTTAACCATGGGCCTAATTATGTGAAGTAATTAGAGGTTCAGAAAGACAGGCGACTCAGCCTAGCAACGGCCAGCTTTCCGCTTGGGCCCTCTGTGAAATGCAGCGAGCCACCAGATCCAAGTGTCACACCCGGACAGGACGGGATCTTGGCCTTTTTTTAAAACGAGGAGGAGTTCAGGAAGCAGGAAAGGCCGCCAACGCTGTCCTGAGCAACGCCCACAGGTGAAAGGGAACTGATTTTCAAGAACCAGCATCTCAAAGCAGCAAAGTGTGTCTTGACAAGGGAAGGCAGGTCCTAGCCCGAAGCAGAGATCCTACCGGAGGAGTGGGCAAACCTGAGGAGCTCATTCCCGCAGCCCGGATAAACGCATACAGACTGATAATGGAAAATCCACGCTTACATGAAGCCAGGGAAAGCTTTTCCCACAACGTTTAAGCAAACTATTAATTATCTACTTCAACTAAAACAAATCCTTCCTGTTGGGGCAATGTTACTCCTAACTCCTCTTGCTGCGGTGTCTCCGCTTCCTCGGAAGCATCCAGTCTCAGCAGCAGGAGGCACCGGGCACTGGAGCACGGGGCGACTGCTCTGCTTTGGGAAGGCAATTTCTGCGCTTCCCAAGTCCCAGCACTCACAGCTATTTATAGTCTGAAGTGCAATTGTTGGCAGCAATAGAGATGACAGAAGGAAAAGAATCCGCTGTCCTAACAGACCGACCTACAGCGGAGCTCTTACCCCCCGTGCTTCAACAACGACGCGAAGCCGACTCGCGGAACAACGGAAGCAAAACCAGCCAAGCTCACGTGCTCCGTTTCTGACAGCTCTGAGTCGCCGTGTTGCCCGAGACGACGCAATTTTTAGTTCTGAAACCTTTCCCTGCTGGTTGTGATCATCTCGGAACCGCTGACTTCCGACCAGCGTTTGTCCCAAGCTCACGCACGCGTTGGGGTTACCAGAGCTGCGTTACAACGCCCGCTGCAAAGCTCCACGCAGTGAGCAGAAGCACCAAGGACTCGAAAAGGCTCTGACTGCACAGGGTATCTGGAACACCTCTGCAACACAGCAAGGCCCCTCAGTTTCCAAGAATGTTGGGGATACATAATAATTTTCTGTGAAACACCTCAAGTACCCAACCACAAACAGGAGGGGCCAAGATAAGCTGAAGCCTGAGCACGCAAAGCCCAGACCGTGAAAGAAGCGGCACAAACAGCTTTGATTTTCTTAAGGAAAAGATCGGCTTGTTGTTCTGCCTGAGCCAACCTGCAGGCAGAGGGATAATTTCAGGTATTTCTAATACATCCAATAAAAAGAGGGAGACTTACCTTCCGAGGGCAGTAAAGTGCAGACTGTTATCTGGAGATGTAAGTGTATGTTCTAGACGGAGAGCGGGTCTCGTTCTGGGCACTGGGTGGCACGTTTAAGAAATCCCAAATCAGAATTGTATCGTCATGGGAACTACTAATGATCTGAAATTCATCGAACTGGAGTCTAAAGACACGTCCCGAATGTTCCTGCGAGCAACAGGCAATCAGTTAGCGAGGCACGAGGAGGGCAGCCTTTCACACCCCTGCTCGCCCGCGTGTCCGGGCGCACAACGGTGCATTCGCACTCGCGGGTCCCGGTTATAATTACGCTCGAGTTGAAAAAAGCTGACTTGGTACATAAGCTTTTTTCAGCAAAACGCCTGGCTTCCAAATCCAGCGCTTGTAAACCCTGGGCCCTCCCAGATACGAGAGACGAAAGCAGCCTATCAGTCAAGAGGCAGCGATTTAGAAGAGGGGCTGGCACCGACAACCTGCCAGGGCTGCTCCTCCTCCAGGACACCTGCGCTCAGCACCACTAACTCCCCTTCTGCCCAGCCCTCACGCGCCACATCTCAGCTTCACCCAGGACACACTGCCGAAAGGACCGTCACGGCTCGCCTACCAGGCGAGACGAGCGCGTCCCAACGCGGCCGCAGGAGCGGCACGTGCTCCGCCGGATCTGGCAAGAAGTCTCAAAGCGGCACTAGGAGGCCTAGAAAAGGTTCTCCTCTTTGTCCTGCTGATCCGTTTTCGGTAGATCTGAAATTCGCATGCTACCTTCACTAGAGAACTAACCGAAGCCGTGGGGCTGGTCTCTGAACTACAACCGGAGCTACAGCGTACCCACGGAAGGGACAGAACCAGTAAACACAAATAGAACTAAATACACCGCATTCACAGGGAACGGAAGAACAGTTAAATCCCATCTCTACGCAAAGACTACCAAACAGAAAGGAAAAACCAGAAGCCTTTCTGGCCAGGTAAGCACTTTTTTAGGTGTCGGAAAGGCCAGGCATATGCTGAAAAAGCCAGTTACTGTCACACACAGTCAAGAACTTCGGGTTGCTACTAGCTGGTCAGACCGACTTCTGAAGCACACTTCCACGCACGCTTCAGTGCAAAGAACAGCAAACGCATTCCCCCAATCTATTTTTAACTGGGTCTGCTGTCATAAACCAAAACCCTCACTACAAACAGAAACGTAACTTAAGCAATAGCCTTAAATCTGACAGTCATCTGAAGTCATTACAGTTCCTGTGGTAATCCCTTTGACTCAACCTCCCTTCCCTCTTCACAGCTCCTCCTTCTAAACTGAAGCGTTAGGAGAAAGGTTTGGGAAAGGGTCACAAGATTCCTCCCCCTTTTTAATATGAGGAAATTTAAAGCCAGCTCTACGATGGTATTAGGGAAACACATCAATAACTAGAATTATCTATAATTATGCTGATTGGGTTTGGTTTGGGGGTTTTTTTGGGTTTTTTGGGGTTTTTTTTAGAGTAACCGAGCATCTCAAACTAGAAAAACTTGACCTTTCCTTTAAGCTCAGATCCAAGTCATTCGGGATACAACAATATATACATTTTTCTTTACTCTTAGAATAAGAAGCAGCCCAGGCTTTATAAAACATCCCGAGTTTCTCACCTATGCCACTACAACATAATAAAGTGCCTCTGGCTTAAACCACAAGATTTCAGATAACCCCAAACGAATTCATTTTACATACCACTAACGTACGCAAGCATAATGTACTTGCTGGGGCACGAGGGTCAAGAGCAGCTTGCAAGTCCCAAACTTTAATTTTGCTGTAAAGTAAAATAAGAAGGTCATTATAAAAGCACCGTTTCAAGCCTAAGCAGAGAAGAAAGATCTAAGGCAACGGGAAGCACGCCAGACCTTCCCTACTGCTAGTTCATCAGGGTCAAGCAAAGCGTTAGACTCTACCCTCACCAAAACACTAACGCTAAATCTCATAAACCAGATAGTTTTGTGTTTCTTTTTAGCAGCAAACACAGGGATGGCTTTGTGACAGACCCAAGCGGGCTGGTTATATGAAAGACAAACTGACTACGTACGCACAAGCCATTCTGGAGCGGAGAAGATCTGGGAAGCTCACAGCACTACTGAGGAGGCGCAAAGTTCCAGAAGGAATTAAGCTGGGACTGCCAACCCCAGTGAGACACTAAGCCTAAATAAAAGGCTAGAGACAAACACAGTTCAAGAACTGTTTCGGTAACTCCACTCTTCACTTGAAGAATAAATCAGGCAGAGAAAGAAATGGAGAATTTGGACATGATGTAAGCCCTCGTGCATCTACTCCACACTGAAAATACCAAGCACGTCAGAAGCACTAATAGCAGAAATGGTCACTGAAGACTTCCGAGGGCCCCACGAGACATATTTACACTCGCAATAAACATTTTCAGGGCTGCTGTCTTAGGAAAACAGAAAGCCTGAACCACTCTAAGCACACGGGACCTGGCAAGGAGCAATTCCTGAGGGAAGAAACAAAGGAACGGCACTTCGGCCAAACAGAAGTTTACTTTCTACAGAAAGTCAAACTCGAGTGATAACACAGTTTAGGAGCGTGCTAAGGAGCACCAGAAAAGCAGTTTCTTGGTGACTTAAAACTGCGGTGTGCTGTGCTGAAACGCTCAGGCAGAAGCCGCTCGGTTAAATACTGCTCCACTAGTGAAAGGAGACGAGAGCCCTTACACAAGGGAACACAAGGCTCAGTGGCTTTCGGAAGACGCTTTGCTAAGAAACACGAAATTGCTTTCAAAAAAACTTACCCATCGTAGGCTCCACTAACAATCCTCTTATTGTCAAACCTGATGCATCGAACCAGTTCTTCATGGCCTTCTAATACTCTTAAGCAGGCACCGCATTCAATGTCCCATAGCCTTAAGAGAGCAGAGGAGAATGAGCACCCCGGGCTCAGCACTGCCCCTCAGCCTCACCCGCAGCCGCGCTGCGGCGGGTGTGCTGTGGGGGATGGCACATAATTTGCTTTAAAAGGCACGAGAGCAACGAGATGACGTTCCTCGCGTGCAATTCAGAGAGAAGCTTGTGTCGCAGCTGCAGGGTATCAGAGTTAACTTCGTCATTCACAGTTACACACAAGTAAAGGCTGGATACGTGTTAAGTGATCTTGGGAGACTTTAATACGCTTTTCGCTGTTCTGCATCAACCAATGATTAGGGGTTCAGAAAGTAATTAAGAAAACCAGTGACCAACGTCTTCCTCATCCCTCCAAGCAGAAGACAAGGTGATCAACTACAGCAACAGCTAAGAAGTTTTGTTCACCTCTGACACAAAGCGGAGCGTCCCACTTTTCCCACAGGGACGTGGTATGTTTGCTCTCACGCTGAGTTAAGTTTCATTCATGCACCGTCTGCTCCGACGGCAAGACACGCCGAGGACGTTTTGCACATGCAGCAGTGCAGGACAGCAGCAAAAGTCAGGGGAAATCCTATTTTCACCCGTGCGAATGTACACCGTTACACACCGACAGCAGCTCGTGGGCACCCACCTAATGGTATTGTCTGAAGATCCACTGACAACTAGCCGATCCCTGTACTGGAGGCACGCAATGCCACGCTTGTGCCCGTTCAGAGTACGAACAAACTCGCATGTACTTGTACTCCAGACCTGTGAAACACAAGACAAACGCTCCTCTGAGGATTACATCCAGACGAGGTTTTTGAATTCCAATAGGAGCAGCTACGAATTTGAGAACAGACGCGGTCCGAGGCTGACCTTCGCTGGACACTGGAATGAAAACTCACACGGTATTTCTAGGGGCAAGCAGTGGGTACCGGGCATTAACGGGAGGCTGGCACTTAGGGGGACCTAGCAGTGACAAGAGCCACGGGCACTGCTATGGCACATCGAGTCAACGAGAAAAGCTGAGGGGCTGTACAGAAAATATTTTCAGGTGGTAGAGACCACCTCAAACGATTTCCAAACTTGATTACCCTTGAACCTCAAAGATCTGCTCTAGGTGGTCCTGCTCTTGCAGGGGGGTTGGACTAGGTGATCTTTCGAGGTCCCTTCCAACCCCTGACGTTCTGTGATTTTTAAAAGTGGAAGTTATCGCACACCTGACATTTTTTTAACCACAGAAATTGCCAGCAATCTACTAGTAAGAGAAGGCCAAAACTGTGGCCTATAAAAGTCTGGTGGCTTTCTTAGCATTAAATGATTCATTAAACTTTGCCCATTTTTAATGAACTGTAACTGAAGACGTAAAGTAGAGTATCCAGTGGCTCATCTTCCAACAGAGAGCGCAGCAGGATCTCTGGCAGGTATTTGGACATCAAACTGCCAAGAGCTTTTTGGCACAGCCTAAGGTAGCTCTGATTCTAGAGAGGGAAGGGTGGAAACGCCTTTGTTATATTAATACACTCCGGGTAACTCAAATTTTCTGGTATGTAACGGTCTTCAAACACAGCCTCTTAATTCTTCAAACGCGGCAAAGTCTGGTTGAGCTGCTGGGAAGGCGCGGTGAGGGAAGGCAACTGCCGACAAATTTCACGTCTGAACAGGACTGCCAATTGCAATGAAAAACACCGCCTGGAAAAAGGCACAAAACGTGCCACATTTAACAAACAAACCGACCTCGGGACCAGAGCTCAAACAGCGAGTGGGCTTTACTTCTTTGCAACCGTACGCCTGCAGCCACAGAAAGGTTACGAGCCCGGTTCCGCGCGTAAGGCCTCCCCAACGGCTAGCAAGGGGAAGCGGGGCACTGAGCGGGAAGGAAGGGAGGCCCAGCACTGCGTAGGAACCCCTTGGCCGTTCAGAGCTGAGTAACGCTTGGAAGCTTTTCTGGCTGGGCAGGGAGGCAGAGCGAGGTTAGAGCTCTGCCAACTTACTTTAATGGTCCTGTCACCCGACGCCGACACAATATACTTGTCATCGAAGTCCACCACGTTAACGGCAGCGCGATGGCCAACTAAGACACGGCGCAAGGTGATGTCAGTTGGGGATGCCATGTCCCAAACGGCGATCGATCTGTCCTTCGAGCACGTCACCATTAAGCCGTTACTGAACCTCAAATGAAGCACTGCCTCGTTGTGATGGATCAACGTGTTGAGAACTTCACCTGTATTTACATCCCAAACTCTGCAAAAGGAAAGGATTTTATTCCGAATGAAGGATGATGGCTACGCGCGGTGTAAAGCATAAACACGCACGAGTCTGCTGCTGTCTCTAGTGGAGAGCTCTCTGGTTATTGAACATCTCCTAGGGCTTGGGGAAGGCAGGAAGATGGGTGCCGGGCAAGTCTCTCAGACTCACAAGCAACAATTAACAGCAGCAAACAGTTAGGCCAGGAAACGCCTAAGCTGGGACCACTGCTAAGAGAAAGAGCTGCTTAACAATTTCACAACTCTTCCAGGACGACTAAAGCTTGTGTGATGTATAAATTGATGGACAGACCAAAACAAATACTATCTAACATGTATTTTTTCAGTTTTACACCATTCATTCTGATTTCACACACGCCGTAGCAACCAGGATGCAGCACCCTCCAGGGCTACCTACTAGCTGACATGAAGTGAAAAATCACGACTTAATTTATAGTACCAGAAGGGTGTTAATATCAGCTCTTAACTTTTGAAAAGGTTTATAGGGATTGCAATTGGTATACCAAAGCAAGACACCAGGAGGAGACAAGGCCCTTCCGCTGAACTGTACCCAAGTGCCTTTACATGGGACATCTACTGATCACTGAATTCATACAAGGATTTAAATTCAGTATCATCAAAATTGCAGTCAGACCAGTGCTCCATATATACCAAATACCCTTTTATTAACAGTCAAAATTAAGAGACATCAGAAGGCAGTACAAGAAACCCTAATGGAAGAAATTGTTGTAGAGTTGGCCACCACACATTCTGCAACTTCAGGATATGCCTTGAATCACTCAGGCCATATTCCTTCAAAATTCTTAATGCTAAAAAAAATGAGACAGATTTGGGAAAAAAAAAATATTGCATGTGATGCTTTGCCAAGTATGAACACCTTGGGTTTGGAACCATAGTATCACATTCACATTAGGGATGTTTTCTGATATTTAGAGATTATTGTAAATATTCCCAGCCCTGATACCCAAATGACTTCTGTGCAAAAACTTAACGCTCACCTCACTGTAGAATCTGAAGATCCAGTTACAATGACTCTTTCATCATACTGCAGACAAAGAACTGAGCCAGTATGTCCTGTTAATACTTTCAAACATTCCAAGCTTGTTTTGTCCCAGATCTGTGGAAGACAAGAAGTATAAACGGCTTATCGAGAACATCGACCCAAGACTCGAACATTGCCACAACTGCGAAGGAAGGAAGAAAACCAGCGATAGCAGGACGAATCCAGGGGCAGTCACAGCCTGCCCAGTCAGCGGGCCTGTCCTCCCTTTTAACTTCAGCAAGTCTTGAAGCAAGTTTTTGACGGAACAGCAAAATAACCAGTGATCATGAGAAGAGAAAAGCCACGGACAATTAACGTGAAAGCCACCCACCAGCATGACAGCAAACTGCTAGCCATGACAAAAGACACAGCTACGGACAGCGGGACACAGTCTCCATGCATGCTACGTCAACTCTGATTTCACAAGCATTTCTTTGTGGCCAATAGTATCGATCTCTGGCTGGCAGTCCCCAAAATCTCCAGAGCAAAGCGCAGGTGAGGACTTTGCCAGCCTACAGAAGACACCCCATCCTCACAAACCCTGCCCAGATAAATACTGTCCCACGAAGAGACAAGAGAACTCAAGCAAACACCAGCAGCCAGCTTTCCAAGGCACAATTACCTACTCATCTCTAGGGCGAAGACTGAGCAAAGCGTTTACCTTAATGGAGTTGTCTCGTAGGCCACTGATAATCTTTTCATCATCGTACTGTAAACAGTAGACACCTTTGCTGTTCTCAGAGCGGCACTGAATCCTCTGCAAATTGTGTCGCCCGCATCGCCAGTTAGATTCTATAGTCTAACAAGAGGGAAAAAGTCAAGGGTTAGGCACGAGGCTGCATGCTTGAGCGTGA